AGGTAACACCTTACTGGAAGTTTTGTAAGATATAGGTAACACCTTACTGGATGTTTTGTCAGATATAGGTAACACCTTACTGGAAGTTTTGTAAGATATAGGTAACACCTTACTGGATGTTTTGTCAGATATAGGTAACACCTTACTGGAAGTTTTGTAAGATATAGGTAACACCTTACTGGATGTTTTGTCAGATATAGGTAACACCTTACTGGAAGTTTTGTAAGATATAGGTAACACCTTACTGGAAGTTTTGTCAGATATAGTTAACACATTACTGGAAGTTTTGTAAGATATAGGTAACACATTACTGGAAGTTTTGTCAGATGTAGGTTACACATTACTGGAAGTTTTGTCAGATATAGGTAACACATTACTGGAGTTTTGTAAGATATAGGTAACACATTACTGGAAGTTTTGTCAGATGTAGGTTACACATTACTGGAAGTTTTGTCAGATATAGGTAACACCTTACTGGAAGTTTTGTAAGATATAGGTAACACATTACTGGAAGTTTTGTCTGATATAGTGCATGGGTACTGAAAATATTGTCAAGTCTATGTTAAGGATGCTGAAAGTTTGGATTTTCATATGTAGCTTATGGATTCTGAAAATCACTGGAAATTTAGTTGAGGATATTGGTACTTTATCTCCCCCACGGATATTATATATATTTTTATCAAATTTAGACCACAAATACTTGTTTCTTATATATATTTTGTGGTGTTAATACATTTGTTACATTTACTGATGATTTATACTGTGAGGGGTAATATTTCTGTTAGGTCTAGGTTATGGGTTTAACGGCTTTATTAGTTCTAGACCATGTGTGATGACATCTTTGTTAGGTCTAGATAACAGGTTTTGATATCTTTGTTAGGTCCAGATAACAAGTTTTGATATTTCTGTTAGGTCCAGATAACAAGCTTTGATGCCTTTGTTAGGTCTAGATAACAGGTTTTGATACCTTTATTAGGACCAGATAACAGGTTTTGGTTTCTTTATCAGGTCTAGATAACAGGTTTTGGTTTCTTTATTAGGTCTAGATAACAGGTTTTGGTTTCTTTATCAGGTCTAGATAACAGGTTTTAGTTTCTTTATTAGGTCTAGATAACAGGTTTTGGTTTCTTTATTAGGTCTAGATAACAGGTTTTGGTTTCTTTATTAGGTCTAGATAACAGGTTTTGATATCTTTGTTAGGTCCAGATAACAAGTTTTGATACCTTTGTTAGGTCCAGATAACAGGTTTTGGTTTCTTTATTAGGTCCAGATAACAAGTTTTGGTGCTTTTGATAGGTCAAGATAACAGGTTTTGGTTTCTTTATTAAGTCTAAATAACAGGTTTTGGTTTCTTTATTAGGTCTAGATAACAGGTTTTGGTTTCTTTATCAGGTCTAGATAACAGGTTTTGGTTTCTTTATTAGGTCTAGATAACAGGTTTTGGTTTCTTTATTAGGTCTAGATAACAGGTTTTGGTTTCTTTATTAGGTCTAGATAATAGGTTTTGATGTCTTTGTTACATACAGATAACAAGTTTTGTTTCTTTGTTAGATATGGATAACAGGTTTTGATATTTTTGTTAGATATTTGTTTGGTTTTGAATTTCGCGCAAAGCTACACGAGGGCTATCTGTGCTAGCTGTCCCTAATTTAGCAGTGTAAGACTAGAGGGAAGGCAGCTAGTCATCACCACCCACTGCCAACTCTTGGGCTACTCTTTTACCAACGAATAGTCCGATTGACCGTCACATTATAACACCCCCACGGCTGAAAGGGCGAGCATGTTTGGTGTGACGGGGATTCGAACCCGCGACCCTCAGATTACGAGTCGAGTGCCAGGCCTTGTTAGATATGGATAACAGGTTTTGATATTTCTGTTAGGTCCAGATAACAGGTTTTGATATCTTTGTTATTTTTATATTATGGGAAGTGGTACCAATATAATAACTTTCATGATGTGACACCTGGTGTCAGTTCTAGAGGTCAGGTTTTGGTATTTTATCATTCTGTACATAATAATATTCCCCTTATTACATCCAAAACTTTCTTCAGGATAAATCATATTACTCCTTTTTACATTTAAAAAAAAACTGAAAAAAAAAAAAGATACAGAACAAAGTTCTATCAACACCTCACATTGCTTAAGTACCAATTTAACTGAATGTTTATGTTATTTATGTGAAATTTTAAATATTTTGGTTGTTTTTGTATGCTGGAAGTCATGTATAATTGTTTAAAAGCAAAACATGTATTGAGATGGAAATTTATTAGATGCCAGTCTTTCAAGACATTAAAGTTTCTGATGATGCATAAACTCTAAAATCCAGTTCTAACCCTAATCGGATTAATCACTGGATCTTGACAACTCATATAAGCTTTCTGATCCGTGTAATAATAAATTCATGTGTCATGATTAGTGCTCACATGATTCCCAGATGGTGCTTGGTACTGTATCCCTCTCACAAACAGATTTCCATAAAATCTCTCTATTCTGTAACAAATATAAATGGAGGGGATGTCTTTTTCTTAATCCATCAGTTAGAATAGTAGATCTACCCAAAATATAAACTTGATAAATGGGACGATGTACTTTTTGTGATTTATATGTCAGAATGGTGGATCTCCTCAAAATATTAACTTGATAAATGGGACGATGTATTTTTCGTGATCGATATGTCAGAATGGTGGATCTCCTCAAAATATTAACTTGATAAATGGGACGATGTATTGTTTGTGATCGATATGTCAGAGTGGTGGATCTCCTCAAAATATTAACTTGATAAATGGGACGATGTAT